TGACCGAGATGACTCTCCGGCCAATAACCAACAACGGGATCTGGATACCCATGTTGGCTCCCACATGTTCCACGATGATCTCATCGGATGAACCACGATGTCAAGGACTTAATCAATCCCGTATACAATTCCCTTTGTCTATCGGTACGATACTTGCCCGAGATTCGATTGTCGGTATCCCGATACCTTGTTCAATCTCGTTACCGGCAAGTCTCTTTACTCGTTCCGTAACACATCATCCCGTGATCAACCCCTTGGTCACATTGTGCACATTATGATGATTTCCTACCGAGTGGGCCCAGAGATACCTCTCCGTTTACACGGAGTGACAAATCCCAGTCTCGATTCGTGCCAACCCAACAGACACTTTCGGAGATACCTGTAATGCACCTTTATAGCCACCCAGTTACGTTGTGACGTTTGGTACACCCAAAGCATTCCTACGGTATCCGGGAGTTGCACAATCTCATGGTCTAAGGAAAAGATACTTTACATTAGAAAAGCTTTAGCATACGAACTACATGATCTTGTGCTAGGCTTAGGATTGGGTCTTGTCCATCACATCATTCTCCTAATGATGTGATCCCGTTATCAACGACATCCAATGTCCATGGTCAGGAAACCGTAACCATCTATTGATCAACGAGCTAGTGAACTAGAGGCTTACTAGGGACATGGTGTTGTCTATGTATCCACACATGTATCTGAGTTTCCTATCAATACAATTCTAGCATGGATAATAAACGATTATCATGAACAAGGAAATATAATAATAATCAATTTATTATTGCCTCTAGGGCATATTTCCAACAGTATTTAGTCATATATGCAAGAAACAACTGCACGGTCATTAATTTGACTAGTAGAACACTCATGCATTGCTACGGGCTATAATGCATATATAAATTCATCAAACAAATGATTAAGGTTGTCTTCAAGGTCGAAGGTCATTTCTTACTCATACGTCCAGGCATGTTCGGACATCAAAAGACGCCGGGTAGGCTTCCCAAAATTCAATTCAGACCATATGTGGGGGAGAAATGTCGTTGTCCGAACTATCCACCATGTTACTTCAACATGTGGGCCCAACACAAAAACCCCACCCCACTACTCACCCTTCTCTTTTCATGTCAGACTATCCCCTTTCCAGTCGTTGTTCCGCTGTAGCCGGACATTTCTCGCTGGAGCCCTCTCCTTTAAAATCGAACGAGCCCACCTCACCTTTGCAGTGCGTTGCAACAAGGTCATTTTTTTCATATTTACAGCATAATAGAGTGGGTTAAACTAACACATACTATTGCCACAAAACAAGAAATAACATACAGAATATTCTCAAAGGTCCATTCAACTTTGCAAATCACGAAGAAAAAATGTCATCTTTTCTAGGGCTTCTAATTGTGTCGCAACATGTGCCAATATTTTTCTCGCATTTCTCATATGTTGCATCAATTTAGAGTTTGCAATGCCTTCAGTTCAACATGTCAATGGCCCTGTTTGGATCATGGGGTTAGAGCTAGTTTGGGTTAGTTGGGGGCTCAAATAACCCAAAAGTATCCAAACAGGAAGGGTTAGAGTGGGTTAGTTTCATCTAACCCAACTATTCCGGTGGAGAGGTGCTTATTTGGGTTAGAGTGGGTTAGAAAATAACTCTAACTCTAACTGTGTTAGAGTATCCAAACAGGGCCAATGTCATGATGAAATGACATCATATGTCCCTTGAATATGCAACTGATGAAACAAAAAAATGCACATACACACTGATGTGGGAGGCGAGCGATAACCTGAACATATTCCTAGTCACCAATAAGCTCCACCTCCAACCCACACACCATTCATTGCTAGAATGGATACTTGTCATTCTTCTCTTGCTAGTCCTCCCCTACATCTTCTACTCCTAGCCTCTTCGCTAACCCGTTTCGGTGGCGCCAACCAGCAGTCCAGCACCACGTCAACATCAGTACGTTCATCAGCGATGCCCCATCTTCTTCTTCCTCCTTCCTCGCCAGCTTTAGTTCTCGTTCCTACTTATTTCCTAGAATAACCTTTCTTTATTTTTTGAAACACTCTTTCCTTTTCCAACACCATGGACCACTTGGCTGCTTTAGGTCTTTTTCCTTGTTATATTCTTGAAACTCTCTTCCATTCTACTATAGCATGAACCATCTGACCAATGTAGTGTCGTGTTGTCCTCGCCCATGAACGTTTCGACAACCGTCAGCGTATGGACATCTTGCAGAACATGATCGTCATCCATCTTCATGAACTCTTGGTCACCAATGTTGCGAGTGCACGGTGGCCGTTGTTCATGTTGACGAGCGGTGCTCGACCATGTCCCTGAGAGCCAACTTCTGCCGATTCGAAAAATCAACGTGTGCAACTTCTGTCAATCCGAAAAATCTGGATGTGGCAGTTTCTTTCGTGCGGCCATATTCATCAGGGAGACAATCTTACATGCATCTCTACTATCTCTACTATTAAAGGCGGATGTGTATGTGGTCATTCGCATGTGGCCATTAATGAAAAAGTATTTTGAAAACCCAGCACCAAATCAGTTTGAAAATTAAACCATTAATGCAATTAATTAACCAAACAGTTAGTATGTATGCAATTCATTAGATCCATTTAAATAATATTTTTTGGCTCTAAATCAATTTGAAAATCAAGTCATTCATGCAATTAATTAATTAGTCAGATAGGCAATCAATTAATTAGTCAGATAGGCAATTAATCACAGTTAGTTAGACCTTAGATAATTAGAAGTAATGATTTTCTCAATTAGGCAATCAATTAATTAATTAGGCAGATAGTAGTCACACTAAATCAATCACGCAGTCCTAATGCGAAAACAATTTGAAAACCGAACGCCGAATTAAAATTAAGCCATTAGTGCAATTAATTAGCCAGACAATTCATTATGTGTACAATTAAGTAGGTCCACTTAAATATGGATTTTTTCGCGTTGAATCAATTTGAAAATTGAGTTATTTATGTAATTAATTAAATAAGCAGACAATTAGTTATGCCCGCAGATAATTAGAAGTAGGTTTAATCCCAACTAGATAGACAATTAGTTAAATACGTAGGCAGTTATTCGCATCGAATCAATCACGTAACCACTAATTGAAAAATAATTTGAAAACCGAGTGCCGAATCTATTTGGAAATCATGTCATTAATGTGATTAATGATTCAAATAGTTAATTACTTCTGCCATTAATTATGTCCATCTAAATAAGGATTTTTCTAGTATGTTGAATCAATTTGAAAGGCGAGTAATTAATGCAATTAATTAATTAGACAGGAACTTAATTAGACATGTAGATAATTAGAAAATGAGATTTTTTAATTAGGTAGGCAATTAATCACGTCAAATCAATTTGAAAGCATTCACGAGCAAGGACGGCCAACAGGTTCTTGCTGGCTTTGCTTTGGCAACTGTCAGCAGGATCTTAGCGATATGGCCTACCAACGTTGGCCAACATGGACAATGCCACCATGCGCTCAGGACATGGGCTACCAAATGTTCGCCAAGATGGATGGTGACCATGCCCTATAGGATGCCCACAACTGACGGTTGCCAAAACATTCACGAGTGAGTGAGGTCGATGGCCGCACGCTCGAGGATGACCAAGTGTTGACTGTCAAGGGCTTCGGCCGCACCTTCTAGGACGAAGGTGGCGACCAAGGAAAACCGGTGACACGCCTCCACTTCAAATATTATCTTATCCCGTAGCAACACAAGGGTATTAGCTAGTAGTGTAAATTGCCAAAATGTTTTTAGCTTTTAAGTTGACCGCAAAATTACGCTGACTATTAATAGGCTACCATAATTTGCATCCTTTATATTAACTAGCAAACATGCCCCTGCATTGCAACATGAAAAAAATCACCTCTCATACACACACTCGACGACATCAGCAAATCCCTTGAAATCTTTCATGATGTCATACGAGAAACAACAAGATATGTGGTGTTGCGCAAAAATATAAATGTGGGACGATTTTGGAAATGTACCGAAGGTGTGTGTGGTTTACATACAACTCGTATCAGCAGTTTAGTGTACATCATCATATATGGGTTGGTTATTGTTCGTTGGACGAAATGAAGAGGATGGTTATGTGCCTGTTATAATCTTTAGCATATGTTAGCTGGTAGGAAAGAACATACCCTATGATGTCAATAATAGCTTTTGTGAGAGCATCAGACTATGCTATCTAGTAAATTTAAATGGGTAGGAAAACCTATACAATAGCCATTTTCAAAATACCCATATAAAGAAAAGTATCAATTAAGGATGCATCCTAAACATAATTTTATGAATGATTAACATGCAAGATAATAACATATTTGAAATATATGCATTTTGTAAGCGATTTTCACATGTAACATGTTACATTTAGAGTTAGATTTGGAAGATATGAATATTTTAAAAAGTAGTTGGATCTGTCAAAAACGGAGAATGTTAAACAGAGAGTAGCTGGGCTTGAGTAGCTGGGCCGAAATTACAACAGTATGCAGCCTATTTGCTAAGCCATGCTTGGGCGAGGTGGCTCTATACTACGCCAACCAAAATTCAGAGGAAAAAGTGACAAAAAATGGCGGAGAAGTTGGGATCAAACTCAGGTCTTCGTGGTGGAAGCCTGGCGCTCTAGCCACTGGCATAGCAGTGCGCTTCTGAATTTTGAGGAGATAGATTTATATGAACCATCGTGACGACCGGTGACTTAAGAAAAAAATCAAAATGTTTTTTCACTTAGCGGTGACATTGGGTGTAATTTATGTCAACTATAATAGTAATTCTACCATGGACAGGAAGAAGCAATAACCCTTTTATTATTAGGTATAGATTAATAATAGAGGCTCCAAATGTTTGGCAGTTCCCTCCCGCCGATGAACAATAAAATCTACAGCTAGAGAAAATAGATAACGTCTCATGCTTAGTTCTCTCATTATTGTGAGTATGGAAAATGGAATCCTAACACATGCTTAAATTGATTGTAGAGATGATTTTGAGCTACCTTTGGTGGGACGAAATGACCAACTACATAATATGGGGTGTATGCTTATTTTGGAAGAAACTGAGCTCCCGCTGGTGAACTCTGGAACAAGAAAGACTGAGAACCCAATGGTGATCTCTGTGATAGGAAAGAGTGGTGTTGGCAAGACAAAGCTGGTGAAGGAGATCTACGAGAAGCACTCAACCAAGCGTTATTTTGACGTGAAAGCATGGGCGACCTGTGCACCCAATCTTAGTGCCTTCAACATCATGAAGTTGATCCTTCTGCGTTTGACAGAGGGCCCTGTTACATGCTCTAAAGAAGAGGAACTCCAAGGAAAACTGGAGGCTATGTTGAAAGGTCTTAAGTACTTGTTGGTTATAGACGGGGAAGTTAGCAGTACAGAATGGAACTACCTGTTATCTATCCTCGCAAAGGACAAGGACAATGTCAAGAGCAGAGTAGTGAGAATCACACAGGCAACCGATCTAGAATCACCACCAGACCCCTTTGTAGAAAAAAATATTATGCTTCAGCACTTTAATGAACAAGTCAAAACTCTTGAGTTGTTCCTGGCAACACTGTTCATGGATGAGAAAGAGAAACACATTGGCAATCTGGAGAAGAAGGAAGAGAAGCATCTCGACGGTCTTGAGAAGAAGGAAGAGAAGCACATCTATGATATTGGGAAGAAGAAAGAGAAAAATGACATCGATCTGAAGAAGGAGGAATTCATAAGACGTCGTGCCAAGTTCATCTTTGATGTTACTGGTGGTTTACCATTGGCGATTGTGCTTTTATCTGGCCTTTTGCGGACCAAGGAGTACCCTGGAGAATGGAAGAAGGTGTTCAAGCACCTCAAGAGCAACTTAACTGAACGGAAGCGGTTGGACATCATACTATCCATGTGCTTTGATGACCTTCCACATGACCTCAAGTCTTGCTTCCTCTACTTTTCCGGCTTCCCGGCAAACACGCTCGTCAAGGCACGCTCCTTGGTGTGCATGTGGATGGCGGAAGGGTTCCTGATACCAAAAAAGGGCAAGACAATGGAGAAGGTGGGTGAGCGCTACTTGCATGAGCTGATCCATAGGCGCCTCATGAACCTTCCACCACTGGAGAATGCCGCTCGTGGAGATGAGCGTGTCACCGTCCAAACCAGAGTCCATGACTTCTTGGTGGTCGAGGCGCAAGAGGCGAACTTCATGGAGATCCATAGTGGTGATGATGTACCCACACTGTCCACTGCTCGTCGCCTTTCCCTGCAGAACCATATGGACAAGTATGCTGCTCTAGCTGACCCTTTGCCCAAGTTGCGATCCATCTTGTCCAACTTTGAGAAAGAAGAGCACCAGACCCAGACCAAGGAAGCCATCAAGACCAGTGATGACATACAGAAGCTCTTGAAAAGATCTCGGTTCCTCCGTGTCATCTACCTGGACGGCCTCGAGATAGGCAACAAGTTGCCCTCAGAAATAGGAAAGGTGATGCACCTGCATTACCTTGGCATCACCTCATGCTCCCTCTAGGAGATACCATCTTCGGCTGGGAAGCTCAAGCGTCTACAAACGCTAGATGTTCGAGGCACCAACGTCACCAGACTTCCCCGAGGGTTCTGGAGGATTCCAACACTACGACATGTGTTTGGATCCATCATCTTGCCTAGGCGAGTTGGCAACTTGGAGCATTTGCAGACACTACAGGGTGTAAACCCTGATGATGGTGGTGGTATCTGGGATACAACAACCTTTGCCGGCATGAAGCGCCTTCAGACCTTGTACATTTGGGAACTCCCCGATGAAAATCCCGAGGATGCCTTGAAGGCTATCTACGCAGTCAAGTCCCTCGTGCTCCTAAGTGTCCGAGGCAAGGTAATTTCCTTCGAGTTGTTCACTCGCTCCACATTTACACGCCTTGAGGTAATGATTTTGAATGGGAAGATCCCACCATCGGAGGAGAGTGCCCGGTTAAACTTCCCAAGCCTGACAAGGTTGTCCTTGAAGAATACCATGGTGTCGCAAAACTTCATCAACAAACTTAGTGAGGAGCTGCCTCTTCTTGCCTCTCTAGCTCTACTCCCCAAGTCATATGAGGAGGAACGTCTTGCCTTCATTTCTGGGTTTCATAGTCTCAAGGAACTGAATCTAGACGTGGGCGTGAAGAAATTTGTGATAGCAGATGAAGCATGTCATTGCCTACTGAAATTGGATATTTCCATGTGCTGCGATTTTCATCTCATCGCCCGACGCGAGATTGAGGAAATAATCAGCGTTCAAGATAAATATCTCTATACTAGAATGAAAGAAACCAAGTAACGTGTCGTTTTCTGAAGATCATCCAAGCTCCTACCGAAGATCAACCATGTGAAGTTCATACCATGTGCGGTATCCACATAACACAATACATATAGTTTTTATTCATGTGTGATGCATATAAGCTTTCAGAGTGTTACTTTGCGTCTATTCGATTTGTTAAGAACACTTGTCTCTGTAAATATGCGTGTGTGCACCCGAGAGGCCGAGAGAGAGATGATTGTTGTTTGGCCCATATCTCAGGCCACCATTTCAAACATGTATTGACTATGTAAAATAAAGTGGCAGAAACTGCTTGCTAATGCCCAAGTTATTAATAAATTGATTGGGCATGTTCAGTCGAAATGGATTTCCTTGCTTGTCTACATGGCGCTGCATAGAATGTTTTTTTTGTTGTTGTTGAGAAAAGCATAGAACGTTTTCTATACGAGGGCAAAAAGGGGAAGTGCATTCTTTGTGCCATGATCTGGGGCGACCTGGCCGTCCGTGCGGCCCGCGAATATTTGCCGACGTCGGGGAGGGAGGTTGCGAGGTCGCCATCGCACAACGTTCAAAATTTCCCACATCCGCACCAGCTCAGCACTCAGCAGGCCACGTGTAAAGCGCTCCTGTCAATAAGACACAGAGACCCGGCCACACCAGGTGCAGGTGTTGGTCACTCGTCGCTTCCTTCAGATGGCGATGGCGATGCGACGCGCGGCGGCGCTCGGCGCCCGCCACATCCTGGCCGCCTCCGCCTCCGCCTCCTCCCGCGTCGCCAGCCGCCGCCACGTACGCCCTCTTTGCCCCCACCCCACTCGCCTGCGCTCCTTCATACCCCTCGCGCCCCCCCGGCGGCGGTGCTCGGTGGGTCGTGTTCTTCTGTTAATTGCTGGGTGGGTGCGCAGATGGGCAGCGTGGACGCGGGCGCGGCGATGGATAAGATCCGGGCGGCGGGGCTGCTCAGGACGCGCGGCCTCATCGGCGGCCAGTGGGTGGACGCCTACGACGGGAAGACCACCGAGGTACTGTCCCTCCCTCCATCCGTCTCACCGTAGCGGTGCCTTCGCGATGCCTGTGGATCGGCGCGGTTCGGATAGCGTTCGATTTCGAGGGGAAATCAGGGATTATTGCGGTGTTGCAGTTGCTACTTAATGGAACGCGTGGGAGTTGAAAGTTTTGTGCCGAATTTGGGACCAACTACCGTACGCCTTGATAACCATGAAAATAGAGGCGGAACTTAGCTGGCATTGAGCCTTTTGAGTTTGCTGTTTAGGTTGTTTCTGTAAATTGTGCTGGACAGTATGAGAATCAATGAAATGTTGCTACTGCAACTCTACTCACTTTTTATATCTCAATTCTCTAATATATGCTAGGTTGCTAATGTTGATTGTCAATCTTTATCACTGGAAGAACTTCTTTTTCTTGTAGGTGCAAAATCCAGCAACTGGCGAGGTCCTAGCAAATGTGGCCTGCATGGGCAACAGAGAAACAGCTGATGCAATAACTTCTGCTAACACTACATTTTATAGTATGTCAAACACATTATTGTATTCGCTTTTAATGCTTGAACACTGACCAATTAATGTTTTGTAAGTGCCATAGTTAAACTGTTTTGACATGCTTATAATATTGATAATATATGCAAATTAAATTGCTTCTGTGTCTGCGGAAGATCAGCATTGGAACACCATGAATCAAGTGAACCCTTGCTCAGATGTCACTTACGTCTCCACAATCAACTAATATCTTCTGTGTATCAGGAAATGCTTTCATTCTGGCCTAGTTGTTTATTGCCATATATAATAATTTAATAAATAAAAATCAGAACTACTATACTATCTCCATATTAGGTGAATGTGTGATGGTTGTTTTGTTTCTGGTAGAACAGAGGAGTTGTACTTCGTAGTAGACAGAGTACATCTTGTAGACTCCCAAAATCCTCTAGTTTTTTAGTACAAGCTCTGAAAGGCAGAAAGAGAATACATGATCAGCACTTAGGCAAAGAAAATTAGGGGAGACAGATTGGTCTCTAAAAGCTTATTTGGCTAAAGCATTGGCAACTTTGTTGTCTCGGAAATGCTTGTTTAAAGAATATCTAATGCATGCCCTCTTTTGATGCAAACCTTATCTAAATCAAGTTTAATTATGATTTTCAATACCTAGTAGGATACTCATCTTCACCTCATAACAAAAATAAGAGTCCTGCATGGAATTGTGCGTTTGCTGTTGTTGTTTCCCTTTGCTAAATATTTGTATGCCTAAGAATGTTTTTCTTTGCATATTTCATTATAGTTGCTTTTCCATTTACCACTTGTAATTTTCTTTGTTTGTTTATTACCCTTTCGTTTTTGTAGCTTGGAGCAAACTCACTGCAAGTGAAAGGAGCAAGGCACTAAGAAAATGGTAGTTTGTATGGATTGAAGTGTTAATAATAGCATGAATTTCTTGTAGTATTACCTGGATATTTCTTCTCACTGTGTATATTCCACAAAGGCATGACCTACTTATGTCACACAAGGAAGAACTTGCACTTCTTATGACACTGGAACAGGGGAAGCCTATGAAAGAAGCCCTTGGGGAGGTACTTGCTGAAACCATGCACTGACAATAGTTTGTTGGAGCTTGTCATTATCTATGGTTATGGTAGGCTAATTTGTTGCTAATCATATATTCAGGTGAACTATGGTGCAAGTTTCATAGAATTTTTTGCTGAGGAAGCAAAGCGTGTGTATGGTGATATTATTCCCCCTACTCTAGCTGACCGCAGACTATTGGTTCTGAAGCAGGTAATATGCTAATACCCTCTAAACATTTATTATGCCTGTTCCTTCTGGTAGTCACTTTTCCCTTCATTACCACATTACGTTTATACTCCCTCCGCCCCGAATTACTTGTCACAGAAATGGATGTATCTAGACATATTTTTAGTTTTAGATACATTCATTTCTATCAATTTCTGCGACAAGTAATTCGGGACGGAGGGAGTATTACAATATTTCATCATCACACTGTACACTTCTCACCTTTCATTTCATCAAGTAAAATGTCATGTTAGGTACTGACATCCTCTTGGAATGCTACTCTAGTTTCTCAGTTCATTTTCTTGTACTAGTACAGTAAACCTGTGCTTTTATTTTTCTAATATTAGTTTTTTACTATGGATAATTTTGCAGCCTATTGGGGTAGTTGGAGCTATTACACCATGGAATTTTCCTTTAGCAATGATAACCAGAAAGGTCTCAAGCAGAACACACTACTCCATTGGTTAAAATGTCCAAAAGAAAATCAGCTATGTTCGTGCATTTTCTTATATATGCCTCCCCGCAGGTTGGACCAGCATTGGCTTGTGGATGCACTGTTGTTGTCAAGCCATCAGAGTTCACACCTCTGACAGCATTAGCTGCAGCAGACCTTGCTCTTCAAGCTGGAATACCAGCTGTAATTCTCTCAAGTTCTCTATTATTCCAGTATTATTTGTGCACAAGTGTATTTATTCTGTTTCCATCTGTACTTGTCGAAGATCATGTTTCAAAATGGACTACTAAATTTCTGTAACGAAATTTTCATATTCATGGTATGGGTACAGTTACCGAGAAAATTCTGTTACTCCCTCCGATCCATATTACTTGTCACTCAAATGGATGTATCTAGCACTGAAATACGACTAGATACATCCGTTTCAGCGAATATGGATTGGAGGGAGTACTAGATTTCTGGTATGCCTTACTCGTTTTGAGAAGTAAACGATTTAAACTAGTCATAACTGCAATCCTGCAAAAGTCACTAGGGGAAAGACCAGGTTTTGGGTATTATTGGAACAAATCATAGTATTTTCCCATCTTTTACTTGCACCTGCCAAGTTGTTTCATTGTTAACAGAAGGTTTTATTCATCACAGTTATTCTTTCATCATCTATTTCTGTGAGTCTATTCATGACATCTGTTTCAATCATATTTCTTCATCTAGGGTGCACTAAATGTTGTGATGGGTAATGCTCCTGAGATAGGTGGTGAACTAATGCAGAGCACACAGGTTTTATTTCCTTCCCTTTCTTTCAGTATTAATTATCTAGTATGTTTTCTTGCAAGTATTTTTTTAGATATGCTAAATCATATAAATTGTGGTGTACATGATCACATGTTTTCCTCTCTATAGGTCAGAAAGATTACGTTCACGGGTTCAACAGCTGTTGGCAAAAAACTGATGGCTGGATCAGCAAACACTGTGAAAAAGGT